TACTACCTTATGGAAAGCTCCTCACCACCATACCCAGGGTCCTCTGGTGACCCCAAGGATTGGCCTTAGAAACCAATCTCTGTCCATTCTAAGTATCTGATAGCTCATCAGTTTGGCAAGTAGAAAGTTTTCTTTGTCTGCCTGTGCTATCCATGAATATTGTTGTGAGCAAACTGACCAATAAGGAACACTAATACCATACTCCATAGTATGTTGCTGCTGTCGCTTGGCTCCTGTACAGATTCACAGCTCCCCAGTAAGGGGCCAATACAACAAACCTGCTTCCTCCACTCTCAGGTAGGGCACAGCCAAGGCCCAGAGGTTCAGTGACTCACCCAAGGGCACATTGCTCCCTGGAATCCATCGCTCCTCATCTGAGCCCAGGGGCTCACTCTAGAATTTGTGGCCTCTTTATGAGACTCAGAAACTCCAATTGCTAGGTTCTTATTGGACTCCTTAAGGGCTTGGGCTTTGGAGTTTGATAAATTTTACTTGGCCACTGATGAGCTGGTTATGTGATTTTGGGCAAATTTCTTAAGCTCTGAGCCTTACCTTATTTCAAAGAAGAGAATAATAGATATAATTAGAAATAATAAGCGATATAATAATAAAATAATTATTTTTTTCATGTTTGTGACATCTCAGTAATAACTGGTAATGATTCCAAGAAGGGTCACTGCATGAGTCTGCTGATTTATATTAGTGCTGTCATGCTTAGGGTACCATATAAGGTAAGGAACGTTGCTGGGTTGGGGTTAGCGGTCTGTGGATATTCATCATCATATTTTTCTGGCTTTCCCTTTTCATCAAAGAAACCTGGAGATAGAGTTTAGTTTTTCTTCTCCCTGGGCCCTTTGCTTTGGTTATATTGACCCTGTGCCCTACCTGACTTCTCCCCAGGTGGCGCCTCGGTGCAGAACGCCATGATGCTGAGGCCAAATGAGGCCAATGGCTGGAGGATTCCCTTCAATGATCATGAGGGTGGCTGTGGCGCTGCCATGCGGGCCATGTGCATCGGTCTCAGGTTCCCGCACCCCAGCCAGCTGGACACACTGATTCAAGTGAGCATCGAGAGTGGTCGAATGACCCACCACCACCCCACAGGCTACCTGGGGGCCCTGGTGTCTGCTCTTTTTACAGCCTATGCTGTGAATGGCAAACCCCCTGAGCAGTGGGGAAAAGGACTGATAGAGCTGCTACCAGAGGCTAAGAAGTATGTTGTCCAATCGGGCTACTTTGTGGAGGAAAATCTTCAACACTGGTGAGTCTGTAGGTGCATGCACCTGCCAAAACATGGTCAGATCTGTGTGTGCACACAGCCCTGCATGTGTGTGTGTCTAGAATTCAGGATGGTGGTCCTCACCACTCAGCCCCCTCCCTGTCCACCTGTCAAAGATTTCAAGTTTCTTTCCAGCCGTGGTTATCACAAAATAACCAAGTAGGCTGGGCACGGTGGCTCACGTCTGTAACCCTAGCACTCTGTGAGGCTGAGGCAGGTGGATAGCTTGAGCTCATGGGTTTGAGACCAGCCTGAGCAAAAAGCAAGACCCCATCTCTACTAAAAATAGAAAAATTGAGGCAAAAGGATCGCTTGAGCCCAAGAGTTGGAGGTTGCTGTGAGCTATGATGCCATGGCACTCTACCTAGGGTGACAGCTTAGGACTCTGTCTCCAAAAAAACCCAAGTAAATACCTCAATGAGTAGTGCAGATGTGTTGCCTTCCTCTTACAGAGGAATCCTGTCCTATGTTCTAGCTTTCTGTAGATTTTGTGGCTGTCCTCTGGTCAGATGAACTTTCATGCTTATTTCCAATTTCCCTAGAACGTGTCTTTTTGATTAGTCTTGACATATAAATAGTATTTTAAAATCCTTGGTTAAAATGCCAAAGAGAGAAGTTTTCCACTAGCTAATGAATAAGTGGTAAGACCATGTCTTCCCCTTTTTTGTGAGGTCACTTCATGTTCTCTTTTTTAGAATAAAAAAAAGCTTTCTGCTGAAGTCACCCGTAATGGTGATGTCCTGAAGTTCTGCCTTGAAAAAGTGACATGACGTTACTGTCAACCCAGGAAAAACAAACCGTTCTTTCCTATCCTGTGACTTCACATATGTCTTCATTTAGCAACAGCACCAATGCCTTATATAGATCCTTAGCAAAAATTTATAGAACGAGAGATACATCTTAGAGATAATCTTGATCTTTATACAGTTTACATATTAGTACTTTAATTAGTTTACAGCGTTAGTAAAATGTTGAAGTTATCTTGGAATTTTCTCTGTTCACACATCTACCTGGTACTTTTCTTTATGGCTTTTCACTTAATTTTTTCCTTCTTGCAGGTCCTACTTCCAAAACCAATGGGAAAAGTACCTAAAACTTCGAGGGATTTCGGATGGCAAATCAGCCCCCACCTTCCCCAAGCCCTTCGATGTGAAGGAGAGGGATCTGTTCTACACATCTCTGAGCTACTCAGGCTGGGGTGGCAGCAGTGGGCACGATGCCCCCATGATTGCCTATGACGCCATCCTTGCTGCAGGAGACTCCTGGAAGGAGCTTGCCCACCGAGCCTTTTTTCATGGTGGAGACAGTGATTCTACAGCTGCCATTGCTGGCTGCTGGTGGGGAGTTATGTACGGTTTTAAAGGCGTGAGTCCCTCCAACTATGAGAAACTGGAGTACAGAAACCGGCTAGAAGAGACAGCTAGGGCTTTGTATTCTCTTGGTCAAAGGAAGACACTGTAATTACCCTTTAGGGCCGTGTCATATTCGTTTCTGGTGGTTTCTTCTTTGGAGTGTTCTTGTTTTTGTTCTTTCTTTTCACCAAAGATTCTTAACCTCGTACTCAGGGGATTTTGAGATAACAAGTCCCTTAGCCACCTTAAGCTCAGTCTCACTGAGCTTAAGCTTTCAGACTCACACTGTTGCTCCTAATCTGTCCTCTTCTTATATTGAAGACTCTTATCTCAGTTGATGGGGTCAGCATCTCCCAAGATAGAAATCCCAAAACCTCGTATGTGAGTCTTCAGTTTCATTGTGTAATTGTTCTAAAGTTTCTTTCTGTTTGTCTTTAGGTTTCAGGGGTGGGGAACTTCCGGCCTTAAGGCCACGTATGGCATTCTAGGTCCTTAAGTGTGACCTTTTGACCTAATCCAGATTTTACAGAACAAATCTTTTTTTTTTTTTTTTTTTTGAGACAGAATCTCACTTTGTTGCCTCTGGTAGAGTGCTGTGGCATCATAACTCACAGCAGACTCAGACTCTTGGGCTCAAGTGATTCTCTTGCCTCAGCCTCCCTAGTAGCTGGGATTACAGGTGCCTGCCACAACTCCCAGCTATTTTTAGAGGCAGGGTCTTGCTGTAGCTCAGGCCGGTCTCAAACTCAGGTGATCCACCTGCCTCAGCCTCCCAGAATGCTGGGATTACAGGTGTGAGCAACCGTACCCAGCCAGAGCAAATGATTTTATTAAAAAGAGCGCAGCAGAGAAAGATGAAGCTTTCCTCGCTTCCTTTGGTGCTTAAGAACAATCTTAAAATCAGAAGGCTGCAGATTCCCCAGCCTTGGTGGGTTCTTTCACAAAGTAAACTTTGAGACAGGATTTGAGTGCCAGTAGTTTATCTAGGAGATAGTTCCAGGGACTACTGGTAGGAGAATGGGGAAGTAAGACCCAGAAGGCAAGGGAGCTGGTCTAGGGTATATTAGTGAGCAGGTTTCCACTGTGGGCATTTGGGACTCAGTCTATCTGGGTCCTCATTTCTCAAATTAGTCCCACCAGAAGGGCAAGCAAACCAATTTCCAGGTTGAGGACCACTCCCAGGGATACTAACTCTAGGCTTGTCTTTTGGGCAAGCCAAACCTGACTGGTTTTAGGTAAAGACTCAGAGATGCTTGCAGTAGCAATCTGTAAGGTGCATGGGAACAGTGAGTGGTGTATGGGGAGTCCTAACAGCATCTACTAGACTCTTCCACCTCCTACATATATTTTTAAACTATCATGCTTTACCTTTGTGCATGAGTATTTTCAGCTGGGTTTTCTGTAATCCATTCTGCTCAGGTCTGGGGAGATGCCACTCTTAGTTGCTTTCCTTATCATGGCACTTGACGTGTTACCGATTTCATTACTGTCTATCTTCTTGTCTATATTGGCCTCTAGACAGAATCTAGCATGGTGCTTGGGCATAAAATAGGCACTTAATCAGTACATATTGAAGAGTAGTGTTAACTAGCCTCATTACCCTCCAGAGTTATCTTTACAAATAATAAATCAGTCATGCTGAACCTCTAATCATGTTCTCATTTATACATCATTTCTTAAAGTTCTTCTCTCTCCTTTTCTACCTGGTAAATTCTTACCCATCCGTCAAGAACCAGCTCAAATAGAACTTTCTGTTTCAATTGTTCAGGCACTTGGCCACCTTCTCACTGCACCCACAGCCTTCTGGCCTAGCCCTGTCACCAGCTGGATCCTATTGTGTGGAGATCATTTGTCTTCTGGGTCAATCTCAGATGCACACTGTCCAGCAGACGTTCACCTCAGAAGTGAGGTGCCATCATCACCTTTATTTGTCACCCTCAGTGTCAGGCAGGAAGCCTGTTCTCCCTTGATTTGTCGGTGGGCAATAAGGAAGAGCATACCCTTCTTTCCCCTTTTCAGAATTGTGCCTATCACAATTTTCCTTTAGATCCTGGCTCTCAGCAGGGGGATGTGGGGAAAGGAGGTCTGATTACAGTAGTCCTGCTGCCTCTGAGTTAGTCCCACAGGGGTTGGTTATTCCAAGCATTCTAGTCTCCTTAGGATATTGGGGGAGAGGGGAGTGTGTTGTTGGGAGTAGGCTTTAGCTACCGTTGTACATGAGAAAAGCTCTTGGTCTGGGTGCTGTGGCTCACACCTGTAATCCCAGCACTCTGGGAGGCTGAGACAGGTGGATTGTCTGGGCTCGGGAGTTCCAGACCAGCCTGAGTAAGAGCAGACTCTCACTAAAAACAACCACCACCACCACAACAAAAATGATGTTGTGGCAGGTGCCTGTAGTTCTAGCTACTTGGGAGGCTGAGGCAAGAGGATCAAGTGAGCCCAGAAGTTTGAGGTCGCTTTGAGCTGACACCAGGGCACTCTATCCACGAAGTAAGACTCTGTCTATAAAAAAAGAAGAGGAAAAGCTCTTTAGAGAACCTATTATATTTGCCTTGCTAATTCTCACTCTTCATCACAGGCGCACTTCAAAAAGAGTTTAGACTTTCAGGCTCCTTTTTATCAAACCTCAAAACCTCCCCAGACTTCACTCTTAACTGATGACCTTGCTTCCTCTGTGTGTTTGTTATGTGTGTGAGAGAGGAGGGAGGGTGAGAACGATCACTGGGG